GGCGGGAAGGGTTGGCGGGAAACGGGTGGCGGGAAGGGGTTGGCGGGAAACGGGTGGCGGGAAGGGGTGGCGGGAACATTTCAGCACGAGCCATGCAACTTCGGCCTACATGAGACCGAAGTAGTACTTTTCGGCCTAGACTAGACCAAAAAGTCTATTTCGGCCTAGCTTTGGCCGAAATGCTCCACTTCGGCCTAATGATGGCCGAAACTACCTACTTCGGCCTAATGATGGCCGAAATCACCTACTTCGGCCTAGCTTTGGCCGAAAAGCCCTACTTCGGCCTAGCTTTGGCCGAAAAGACCTACTTCGGCCAGAGGATGGCCGACGGGCTACTAGTTGTGGTTTTTTTGCATTACGTCATATAGTTTCCGAAAATGCTATAAAATCTATCACAGTTTTGAAAAAAATTCTACTTCGACAAGCAGACCAACTACAGCAGCTTGATCAAGTACTACGCCTGAGCTCCTGTACTTCCACAAGCCACGCTTCTTGCATCACCGTCGGTTTGATCCTGATGTACTGTTGCAAGCGAGAACAAAGTGAGGCTTGTACTTGGATATAATAAATAAATAATTGAATAGTTGGTCGTACAGATCTCTGGTTTAATCATCAACTCAATCACTTAATTGCTTGTGTTTTTATCTGTAGTTGAGTGATACTTCCTCCATCTCAAAATAAGGCTCCAAGTGTCTTAATTTTATACTAATTTAGTTTGTGCTACCTTTAGTACAAAGTTGTACGGAGGGAGTATGTTACAACTGTGCCTTCACTTGTCAAGTACTCCCAACCATTTCTAAGATAAGTATTTCCGGACTAAGACAAGTATTTTCAGACGGAGGGAGTACCGCTTAGCGAATTTGCGGAACAAACTCTTGTCATCTTTTGCGATTAAAAATGGCACAAACGCTCACTCATGCATGTAATTTGTCAACAAGTACTAGCTGGTAATTTTGACATGCAAAATCATCAGTTTGCAGGATTTACCATCTCTTTGGCATGCAAACCATCAGGTTTATATACAAACATTTTGCAGCAGTTTCCACTTCCGCATATTTCAGAGTAGCAGTACACAGTAAGAAATCAACTCAAGCGACAATTCTCTCTCAAGATTAAATTGTATACATGCTTCTGAATCTTTAATCATTTCTTGAACATAAAGCTCTCTCTGAGGATATCCGCAGCTAAGTAGCTCCAACATCTCCATGCTAGCGGAACCAAGGGGGTCCGCCTTTTCGGATTTTGATGATTTAGGCGAGTCTGAAGTGATACCACCTGATGAATCCCCTGGCCAGCTTACTGGGAGAACGACGCCCAGAGCCGTTCTCATAAGGTTTGCTTCTGTTATAAGACTGTTCAGTGCTTCATAACTACTCTCCAAAGAACAGCCGGATTTGACATCATCATATACCTGACAAAAAATGGTTAGGACACAAAAAATGGGTATCACATATTACTGCTAAAGCTAATAATTCAATTAAAGAAAAGTGCCCTACCTTCATAAGCACTCTGTGCAGCCTATGAACCAAAGAAGTGAGACGTTCCATAGTAGCAACACTTTCCAAAAGGGTAGCATTTTCAACTTTCATCCTGTCATAAAGTAGCATGAAATTTAAAAAATTCACAGAACAAAATTGTAAGTGCAGAGAAGATTATGGCAAAAATATAGTCTAGGATGCAGCATATTGCGGTCATATTTAGCTAATAGAAAGACTAAGTTTGATGGGAATGAACCAAAAAAGTAATTTGTGTGTATTATCACAAACCTTGATAGATCTACTGAGCACCCTCTACAAACTGTCTGATCATTTCCACGAGAGCTCTCATGCCCAGTATTATTTTCCTTTTTTATCCATTGTCTTAGAGATGTTCTGTTAAGAATAGTCTTCAGCATCCCTTGTTGGTCATGCCCAGAAATGATTTTTGGAGTATCAACAATACCATGACCATCATTTGCAGTAGAGTTGCTGTATAAGAAGAAAATATATATAGTGATAAGAAGAAGAATGTATATTACACCCAGGAAAAGGTACTCAAAATGTTAAGTAAAAATCACAAACATGATCCAGTATGATGATTTACTGCACATAAAGCTTACCATTTCAGGAGATAAGCTTCTTTCAGTTTTGCTAACTCCATCAGGACCTTCACCTTTTCATCTTTAACCTGCATAGAACAGATGCAAGCAAGTTACGAGATGTGCATCCGATGTTGCATGCTCTAGTATGTACCCTTAAGATAAACTTCTAAGATGCTGTGAAGAGAAGAGTCCAAGAGGAAAATAGACAACAGAATGGCCTATTTGCATACTAAATCCAGCTTCATCCGTGCCTCTATAAAGTCCTTGATATTTGCTGGAGCGTTAATTGCAAAATAATGTAAGTTTTTTGGCACTAGCTCCAAACATGTGATGCACTGAAGGTGTTGAACAGATCTAATTGTTTCATAGACCATCATAGTAATAATCGTTAACCAGTGTTAATGGTGTAGTCCTTGCGTCTATGTAAACTAGCCACGCGTCTGTGTACGCCAATGAACTCAGTCAAATTCAAAACACCATCGGAGGTCGACAACTAGTCGAGCCTTTAGTGACATGGCTAAACAAGTACGGTAGCCCTAGCTCTCACAGTTGTGCATTGACTGCTGCCGATGCTGAACAGCAGCCGGCTCCGGTCCGGTTCTACAATAGGACTTCACCAGATTTTACTCTAACAACCACACCTCTAATTTTGCATTTCCAGAAAATACTGATTCTAGTAGGAAAAAATGGACTGACATAATATTCGTGACAGTGTCACATGAAATTTCTCCATATACTTTACAATTTAAAGCACTCAGCATAACTCAAGATTCATAAGACTGTAAAGATTGTAAAAGGAAAATAACGGCCATCAAAAGTGTAGGAAGTACTACTTGAGATAAGTTCTTCTGAAGGTCCTCTATAATAGCTTGGTTCTTCTGTTTTTCCAACAGGTATCTTTCTTGTTCCTGTGAGAAAAGCATAAGCGCCTCCATCTGTAGTAGATTTCAACATAATGTGAGATTATTTAATATAAAGAAAGGCCCATATGAGAATTACAAGCAGAAAGAAGCACCAGGATAACGCTGTACCTTCTCCTGCAAAGTTTGAGCAAGTGCTTTTGAATCATCAAATGTTGTAGAATAACCTGTAGGAACATCACCCTACAATATACGCAATAACAAGTTAAGTCATATAACTGTAAAGAGAATTGTGACGTCCAGTCTTCAGGGAACTACTCCCTCTGATCCTTTCTAGATGTACTCCCTCCATTCCTAAATATAAGTCTTTTTAGAGATTCTAATGTGGACTACATACGGAGCAAAATAAGTGAATCTACACTCTACAATATACATTCGTATGTAGTCCTTAAAATCTCTAAAAAGACTTGTATTTAGGAACGGAGGGAGTATTAATTTTTGAGTTAATTACACTTTTGATACATGCACTTGCACTCGATGTACAGATTTCATACATAAACTTGAAAAATGGCACAAATCTGTTCTACAACTTGTGTTTCGGATACGTTTAAGTACATTTCCATCGTTTACCGTTTACTCTACATGCCAGGTGGCCCACACTCCATATCTGCGTGTGGGTCCCACCTGTCAGTGTCATAGAAAGAAATAGAAACATAGCAAAAAGCAATTCAACCAGCAGAACTCGAACTCGCGACGTCGCGTAGCGAGCTTCAGGCGTTAGCCAGTGCACCGGATGCATTTGTTGTTACTACAAACATACGGTCCCTTATATATTTTATTAGGTAAATTGATTCAAATTCCGAATGTGTATTGCACAGGATTTACTGCGTGCGTGCGTTTTTCATCTCCGTTTTTCCCCGGTCGACCGGTTATCGAAAATTTAGGTGAGCCCCGAATGTTTTTGATATCGTTCAAAAAAATATTTATTTTCAATTTAAAAGGTCAGATAATGTCAAAGAGAGCTCGTATTCATATGTTTTCAACAACAACAACACAACAACAAAGCCTTTAGTCCCAAACAAGTTGGGGTAGGCTAGAGGTGAAACCCATAAGATCTCGCAACCAACTCATGGCTCTGGCACATGGATAGCAAGCTTCCACGCACCCCTGTCCATAGCTAGCTCTTTGTCGATACTCCAATCCTTCAGGTCTCTCTTAACGGACTCCTCCCATGTCAAAATCGGTCGACCCCGCCCTCTCTTGACATTCTCCGCACGCTTTAGCCGTCCGCTATGCACTGGAGCTTCTGGAGGCCTGCGCTGAATATGCCCAAACCATCTCAAACGATGTTGGACAAGCTTCTCCTCAATTGGTGCTACCCCAACTCTATCTCGTATATCATCATTCCGGACTCGATCCTTCCTCGTGTGGCCACACATCCATCTCAACATACGCATCTCCGCCACACCTAACTGTTGAACATGTCGCCTTTTAGTCGGCCAACACTCCGCGCCATACAACATTGCGGGTCGAACCGCCGTCCTGTAGAACTTGCCTTTTAGCTTTTGTGGCACTCTCTTATCACAGAGAATGCCAGAAGCTTGACGCCACTTCATCCATCCGGCTTTGATTCGATGGTTCACATCTTCATCAATACCCCCATCCTCCTGCAACATTGACCCCAAATACCGAAAGGTGTCCTTCCGAGGTACCACCTGGCCATCAAGGCTAACCTCCTCCTCCTCACAGCTAGTAGTACTGAAACCGCACATCATGTACTCGGTTTTAGTTCTACTAAGCCTAAACCCTTTCGATTCCAAGGTTTTAGTTCCACCTGGTATTCATATGTTTCACATTAAAAATAATCTTCCAAGTGATAAGGCGCACGAAACATCTTACAAAAACTGGACCTTTCTAGAGTTACATTCAACATTCTTTATAAGAAAAAATAGACAAGGCACCATAGCAATGCCTTGAACCCGCACCCCTCTGAATAAACAAGTGAAGCTGGCCGCTAGAACAGGAGGCAGAATTTGTCATACATGGGGTTAAAAGGAATATATGTTTACACTAAAAAGATTGAATTCAAAATTGTTTTTACACTAAAAAGATTGAATTCAAAATTGTTTTGAAATTTTGAACGAAAAATCCCGAAACCTCTGAGTTTTTCGGAAACTGTTTTTTCCGGTCCCTCCCGGAATAAAACCAAAAAAGAGTTTAAAAATATATTGTTCGAACCCCTTGTGCAGCGCCTATTTGGCTTCAGATCAATTGTTTCCTTGCTATCCAAAAAGTTAACTATGTGTAACACTAACAAATAGTAGCAGGTGGTGTAGTGGTTGGCTTCTGGAGCGTGATAGGTAACGCGCCGAGATAGATTCCTACTATGCGCAATTGTTTTGCTATATTTTTATTTGTTTCTTTCTTTGGCACTGACAGATGGGCCCTATGCGCAGGTATTGAGTGTGGGCCAACTGGCATGCAGAGCTTAACGGAGTGTTAATGGCAAGCGACAGAAATGTACTTGAATGTACCTGAAACACATTGTATGACCGATTTGTGTCATTTTTCAAGTTTATATATGAATCTGTACATCAAGTGCAAGTTTATGTATCAAAAGTGTAATTAACTCTTAATTTTTTTCAAAAGTCAAACTTCTCTATCCTTCACCAAGTTTCTAGAAAAGATGCAACATCTAAAAAAAGGAATCGGTACTATTAGATACATCATGAAGTATATTTTCATATTTTCTTTATTTAGTATTGTACACATTGGTAGTCTTTTCTATAAACTTGGTCAAGGAGAGAAAAGTTTAACTTTTGAAAAAAAATACACCTTATAAAAGGAACGGAAGAGTAGGCAAAGGATGTTGTGTATTATTCAAACAATACTCATGTATTACCTCTGTCCCAAATGTTTTTACTTGGAGTTGCAAAAATCAATCCCAGATGCTTTTGGAATTGATTTTGCATAAGAAAGGGTATGCCAAATTAATTCCAATGCGTCCAACTAAAATACAGTACTACAGTATTACTTGAGTAATGTGCAGCATCCTTTGCCTTTAAAAAAATGAACCCCCGAAAAACAGGATGTTACAAGAAATGTTTTCTTCAGGAAAAAGAGGGGAACACATCAAGAAAGTACCTATCTAAAAAAAGCAAGGACATGGTATCTTGCTTACACAAGATAAATAGTCGATCTGATTTAAATGTAAAAAAGAAGTATGCCAACCCAGGATATATTCATTAAGGTGTTCTGGAGATTTGAAACTATTAAGTAATTTATCAATTTCTTCACAAGTTACACTATATAACTCGTGAGCACAAATCTAGATCGAGGAAAAGGTTCCGAGAGGAAGTGATTCCGCATAAAAGCAAGACTTGAGAAAGTTCATTATGTTCTGAACAAACCTTGGGGATGGTTTCAAGGCCAATATCCATAGTAACATGCACGTCTTTACAACTACTGTCACAGCATTGCATCTTCTCAACAGGGTTACCAATGATCTCAGCATTGATGCAAATTTGAGTTAACTTGTCTTGAATCTCATTAACAGCCGTGCTTAACAGAAGTGATTCTTCTCCCAATATTTTCATAATTTCAGCCCTTTGATGTGTATAGACTTTTTGAAGAGCTGACAGACCATCTCTCATAAGATCATCATTGAGTGCCTGCATTCCGAAGTGTATACATCATTAAGCGCATTAAGGTGCATTTCATCATTGAGCGCATTAAGGTGCATTTCATCATTGAGCGCATTAAGGTGCCGTCAGAAAAAAAATGATATGATAAGTTGAATTTTTGTACCTGTTTCTTTTCCAGTGTTCGTACATTTCTTTGCAAGTGCTGTTCAATTTCGAAACTCTGGACATCCAAATGACAGATCCCTTAGGAAAGCCGAAAAACTATTTGTCTCTGCTATGGATAAACTTAACTTACCATTCTTAGATTGCTTTGCAGCTTAGATATTTTAGCTTTAAGCGACTCATTCTCCTGTTCTAGAGATGCCTACATAAAAAAGATCAGTGAATGTGTATAAAACTAGAAACGATAAAATTATTGAAACTGTCAAGTAACAAAAAGAAGTTTGCTGGTTTGCCGCTTGTAAAGAAGCATACAAGGCTTATGTTATTAATTTATCTATTTATTAATGTTGCCCAATCAGAACGTCTTACTAAGTTTAACTGATTATGTCTATACCATACTTCGGTACATTCCACTATTCCAGCCATTTAAATATATAATAATACAGAATGTGGAAACTTCTACACTACCAGTGGAGCATCGATTTTGCAAATGAGAATTTTTGACAGCCAGGTCCTTTTGTATATCTGAGACCACATTGCTTAATTTAGGCAGAGAGGACATGATCATCTCTAGCAGAGTCGAACCTATAAATAGAATAGCTATTTACTTACAATCTTGAAAACCATCAGACATGCAGCTACTTTGTAATTTCTGTCTCCGTGTAAGGTGCTGTAATTTATACTAGAGAAAGCTAAAGTTCAAAGTAGAGATGCTTCCTATTAGAATTTTAGAAAAACGTGATAACTGACATCAAAGTTTACCACATCCCTATCTTTTGCATTTCTTAGGTTCCCAAAATAAACTTAACCAGACAAACATATCCTACAATAGTGGATTATAAAAATTCAATAGAAGTATTAGATACTCCCTCCATCCCAAAATACTAAATCAGCGACACTTATTTTGGGACGGAGGGATTATATTTTAAACTGGAAGAACAGTGAAAAATTAAAACATATCAATCTGCAAGTGAATTATTATCTCTCATGGATAAAGTGATTTAAGTTTACAATGTACTTCGAAGTTGAGGTTTCGCCATCCAGGTTGAAACTCCAACTGTCAGCAGAATCATCTAGAAGAATTGAGCATTTCTCTTTAAAAGTAATGTTTGAAGGGCATTCACATTCCCTGGAACGAACTTCATAGAATTTTTTAACAACCTGAAACAGAATCAAACATCAAACTCCCAGTCAAGAAAGGATCAATTCTGATATATACTGGGCGGTGCAAATGATGCGAACTGAACACGTCAAATCAGCATGAAAGAGGGCAGATCCCAATTGGATTTTTTTTATCTAAAATATACTGAGTGTAGATGGCGAGGTACAGACAACCACACAGATTAGAAATAAAAAATATGCAGTAGGTCAAGGAAATTATTTTACACTCAGGAGTCCATCAAAAACACTCAATAATATACGTCCTTCTTAGTGCAATTTACATTAGAAAGTTGGATGGGAAAAATGGGCAAGACTACTTAAATCCTGACATTATTCAGGATTTTGACAGTAAGCCATATTTTGCATTTCGTTTTTCATTCTCTCGTTGGGCCCACTACTCAGTGACACAGCCCAGTGGCAAAAATTAAATGCACAATGGCAAAAGTAAAATTTACAGACTTATAGTGGTAAGATTTTCCCTTTAAATCCTTCATTGAACAGAAAAATTTACCAGATAATCATTGTCGACACAGCAACACAAAACATGCGCACATCCAAGAGAGATTTAGGATGCTCTTTTAGTTCTCAACTAAAATCTGGTACTTTTTCAGTATGAAGAAAAAACCTTTTAAGTGAACTTGCACAGATTTATGCTGGTAGTAATGGCAATAAGAATCAAAAGCATGCTTACATTCAAGGAAGATTCTGTATGCGCTTTTAGTTCTGTCAGCTCCATTTGCAGGGCATCGTTCAAACGTTTCTGATCTTCCATTGCAGTTTGATATTCTCTCGTCCTGCCAATTAACAATCATGATACTCTGCACTTATCTGAAACGTGCAGCAAATCTAGGACATTCTCCATTCAGTTGTCGAATGTGGGACCCTTAAATAAAGCCTATGTGAAGTGTAGTTGTGATTTAAGAAACTACCAAATACAGAAACAGAAAGAATAAGTTCTGTGGTCACCACCCGAACGATATACTGCCTCTGTCCCATATTAATTGATGCTCAAACGGATGTATCTAGCAGTGAAATACGTCTAGATACATCCGTTTCAGCGTCAATTTAATATCGGACGAGGGAGTAATTGTGTAAAGAATGTACAGTTAAACTTTCTGTCAGTACATTTAGACTATGGTACGCATATCTCCTTAGAGATGGGCAGCACAAATTTTAACTCGCACCGGAAGTTAAGAAAATTTAAGCACTGCCAAAATAAGGCCATGTACAATGCTAGGTGCTTAGAAAAATAAATCTGTTTTGCTTTAAGCACAAGTGGTTATTTGTAGAGTACAGGCGCTTAGAAAAATAAATCGGTTTTGCTTTAGACACCTCTGGTACACAAATAAGCACTGGTGCTTAAGAAAACAATGGTTTGTTTTTCTAAGCACTGCTCTAAGCTCCTAGCATTGTACATGGTCTAAGATTCCACTTTCCTCGCTAAACAAGAGAACATTGTTCCAAACTTAACTAGTGCCTTTTTTTATTAGGATGTGTTTCATAATGTGTGCAGTTGCAGGTCTGTCAATGCACCAGCCAACATTGATATCGGATGCTGGCCATTTTACAACCAACAAACTCACATTCAAAAAGAAAAACCCTGCAAGACCACTTATTTGTCAAGATCTTTAATACTGTAGATACCAGTCAGTTTCCATTATACTCGCCTCTGGGGAACTTGGTGAAACGACAAATTAACATTTCATCTTCCTTAAATAATTATATCTTAAATACCAGAGAACAGTTCAAGACATGTGAAATAGGAAATGAGTTGTACCTTTCCTCAAAGGTAGCGCACATTTTTAACCCTGCTTCTTCTCGCTCCTTTGCTTTCTCACACTACCAATTTCAAATGTCATGTATAAAACATTACATCTTTAGATACAGAATTGACTTAATAAGTAAATCAAGAAGAACCTCCAACAATGAACCATCTCGTTCAGCAAATGCTTGAGCAACGCTGCTCTGGAAAAACCTCACTTGCTGCTCTAGCTCCTTGGTCTACATTGTCATTGCAGGATAGAAGGTCATTTCCACAATAAGCTAGATTTCTTGTAAACAGAAATTTAGGAGGTTAAAGAATTAGTGACCTAAATTCCACAAAATATCAAGTTTTAAGTAAGCATATGAGGCCTTTATTATCTATTTCAAGTTAACTGAAGTGAAATAATGTTAAGCAAAGGCCCCAAAGGGTACCTTCTCTAAAAAGACCAACCAAGACTCGGAATATGCCTATCATGCTTGAAATGATATTTTACTTTCAGGCTGCAGATTTTGAATAAGCACAATTGTTAGTGTTTTGTTTAGTTGTGCGGTGTCTGAATGATATGTGGGTCTAGCTATAGGTGAGCATAGATATGTCATTCCATGTTCAAGCTCAAGGGACTTCACTCCCTATACTACTTGTACGTGGATGATGGAGAACAAGTATAAAATTATCTGCCACTAAACATTAGTCGGCAAAAGTTACAACATTATTGACAAAACAACAACACTCAATTGTACAAGTCAAAGTATGAAACCTTTGATAGCTCAGCACCATATAAATCAGCAAGCTGGCTCTGAAATTTAAGTAAAGCAATCATTAGAAGAAAGAAAAAGAAAAGCAGATACAAACAATAGTACAGCGAGGAAGAGAAGCACACCTTAACTCGATAAGCCTCAGCAAGCTCCTCTTGCAAATTTTGGTTCTCTCTTAAGCATCCACTTAACTTCTTCTGAAGGATCTCAATATCCTGCTCCAGAGCTGTTGTCCTGGATAGTTAAAACAAAACATTGGTTTACTTTCACTACAATGATAACAATGGAACATGGACAGAACCTATGGAAGCACCTCTGAGAAAGCATTCGAGTTGCAACAGAAACATAACCAGGCCCAGCTTGTTGCATACATAATTGCTCGATATCTTTTCTCAGTTCATCACGTTCTGACAAACAAAGAATGTTTCAATCAATAAGTGTACGCCTATACCCCCACATAAAAGAAATACAAGAATGAAAACTGGAACTACTCCCAAAACAACTAGTCTACATGAGCAACTTTGAGAAAACAGAACATGGTGTTCTCTCCATTCAAAAGGTCAGCAATCTGAAGTATGAGAAAATAGGTACATTGATCTTCCATTGAAAATCTCTGATTGCTAGTAACATCTGCCGATAGTTTCCAACATGTTAACCATGTACACATGACATCCAAAGGAAGCAACACTGCTGAGTACTAAGATATACTCCTATGACTGAACAAAGCTGTAGAAGGTTGGAGTTATTATAAAGACTCATAAAATGTCTATCAGAAACAATGTAACATAATTAGCCAAGGACTTCAGCAGCTACTTCATGTACTTTCCCAAATTGTACAGCAAGCCACCATTAACAGAGTGAAAGAAATTTTAGAAAAACTATTGCATTCTTCGCAAAAATTATCTACTCAAATATGCGAGAATAGCTGAATTATGACAGGGCACATATTAGTGAAGGAACTCTAGTGCATTATCCGCTTTTATATCTTGAGGTCATTACTGAAGGAAGCCAGGAACTAGTACGATTCCCCCTGAATTTCCATTGGAGTGCCTCTATTCCAAAAAGGGGTGAGGGTCCTGAATTGAACTACTTGCACAGAGAAAACAATGTAGCCAAACTAATCACTAATCTGCAGGCTGAAGTGTTATATATAATGAGAGCAACTTCTATTGGCACAGGAAACAATCAGTATGTTAGGGTTATCACTGAAAGTATAAAGGAATGAATGATAATCTTGTATATGACAGATATGAGTGAGTACCCCGCTGGAGTTCTTCAACTCGACGAGTTAATACCTCACCATCTTATGGCTTCTCATCCATTTTCTACAGAAAAACAGATAGAATAAGATTAATGTTCTTGAATAAAAATGCAAATGAATTGATATCCTACATGCCATAATGTAACATAAACATCAAAGCCGTGCAATGGAAGCCTCAAGTTCTGAGCACAAAATAGTAGTAATACCGCAGGCTTGCAGTGAAGCAGGGGTGATCCCCTAGACCCGCTTCTTCCTACCAAAGCAGAAGAGGAAGAAAAAATGTGCTGCAGCACAGGGGACATGGACGGATTTCTCCCAAGATTCCGGACTCGGAATCGCCACAATTGCACAAACGCGGACGAAACCCTAGCCTGCTAATCGGGCCAAAAATGAAGCATAGGCTCGACTGGGATTCAGCAAAGCCTACCTTGAATCCACACGGACTTATGGCCGGGTTCGTCTCCTCCACGTAGTCGTCGAGAAGAGCACCGCCGCTCGCTTCGCCGCCGGCTCCGAGGAAGACAAGACGAGGTTTCGAGAGCTGTCTCAAAACCAGATGGTCGCTCCTCGTGGCCTCACATGCGGAGCCTGAGGGCATGTACAACAGCGATGAGTCAGCAGTCTGTAAGCTATTGCCAGTTAGGATTTTCGTCCACGTGGAGGAAAGAGAAGGAGGAGAGAGAAGAAGGGTGTCTGCAATTCGGCAGACGGTCAATATCCCAAAAATCGCTAGCAATCGACGGCTTTTTTCCAGTTGTACGCTCAGGTGTCTGTAGTTTGCAGTTTCTTCCCCAAAACGCATAGATCCCGTTCTCCAGGAACCAAATCCGGTGATTTTTCTTCTTCTTCTCAGTCGCTGGCGGATCTGGACGAGACCATCTCCTGCATCATTATCCTCATCGCGGAAGAAAGGCAGGACGTGTGGTGCCGGGAAGAGGCCAGGGGCAGTGGTTATTGTGGGGGAGGGGGGAGGTGATGACCGGCCCGGGATGGAGACGGTGGGGGCGGCCGGAGATGGAGCTCGTGCTTCTTCTTCTTCTCCCGCTACAGGTGCAGTGACATGGGGCGGCGGCCGGTGATGGTAACTACGAGGATGACAGGATCGAGTTCATGGTGCTCACTGCAGCAAACAAGCAGAACGGTGGTAGATCAAATATGTCGTACTTCATGCATTTTACGGTTTCTTGTACAGACACCTAAAAAGACAGCTTGTTGTATGAAGTGTCTAGATTTTTACGGTTTCTTGTACAGACACCTAAAAAGACAGCTTGTTGTATGAAGTGTCTAGATTACAGTCTTTGGGTGATATGGACACACGCTACAGATGATGGCTGTCTAAGCTAATGTACATGCCCCGAGAGGCGGGCCAGAGCGGCTTCGGTCTACAAGTGCCAAGGAGAATATCGTGCAAGCAAAATGTTGACGTGGCAAAATAATTAGGACAACGCTACCTATACGTGTGATGGGAGCCAAATCCGCTCACACATCCTATAACACACGGACTGCATCACGTCATCGCATGCATGCATGTAAGAATCTTTTTGGATTTCCAGTTTTTAAAATGTTTTATCTCTTAAATGAAAAATCCGATTGAAGATCCGTTTTCACCATTAAATCCCTCGCGGCAGGATCTTCGAAATTAGATCTCATATCAATATATTTCGATAAATTTTTTTGGTTAAAAGTTGTCATGTCTATTGCACATGAATTGTCACGATGTTTACACTGAAGTTGTCATGATATGTTTCAGCTATTTTCTTCTACATTTAAAAGTAAAATTTGACATATTATAAAACGGGAAATTAAGAAACTAGACTTTTTCATGAACCATAAACTAAAATTGTCATGATACATGCACTTAAAATTGTCATGATTCATACAAAAACTATTTTTCATGGTCAAAGTGTTGGAATTGCCATTATCAAAAAACTAAAATTGCTATGCTCTACAAACTAAAATTGCCACATGACAACTTTAATTTAAGCACTATAGCAACTACGATGTAAACGTCATGGCAACTTTTGGGCAAAACAAAATTTCATTGAAACATATCAACATGGGTTCTAGTTTTGAAGATCTCGTCGAGACGGATTTAATGGTGAAAACCGATTTTTAATTCGGTTTTTAATTAGGAGATAAAACATTTTTAAGCCGAAAACCAAAAAGATTCCTGCAGATGCCATATGTTCATATGTGGCAAAATGAGTGGTGATGCAGGCGTGTGGGTAATATACAAGATGCCACACGTGTGGGCGTTAGTTTTTTCCAATAATTAAAGGATGTACAATGATTAATAAGGCAGCCTTGCGAATCAACCTATAGTTGGATGGTTAGAGCATCTTTAGCACACCCTATATATCGCTGACCCGCAAAAATTATTTACAATTTGCAGAAAAACGGTTTTGTGAGCCGTCGCAGGTATTAGATGCGGTTTTATCTGAATTTGACACATATGCACATATTCATAATTACTAATTTGCAATATAAGAAAATATCAATATTACAATACAGCAATCATTCAGATTACAATAATTATTCAAATGTCCAAAGCAAACTAAATAATTCAATACAAAACTTGTCCTGGATACAAACCACACGTGAATTAAATGAAAATGAATCAAAAAATGAAATGTGTTACTGCCCAGCCCTTTGCTAATGGTGCTCAATGAAATCCTCCTAAAGCTGAAGTGAGTGTTTGCATTTTCAGTCTCCTTGTAGGTCTGAAAAAAACATCTAATGCAGTTAGGGTCTCTAACTGGTTTGACATGGCTACCCACATTGTCGTAGAAGAACTCCAAGTCCATGCCTCTCTCATCTTCGATAATCATATTGTGAAGAATAACACAACATCTCATGATGTTTTTCAAGGATCGCTTGTCCTAAAAATAAGCAGGACCACGAACAATGGCAAACCTAGGTTGCAAAACCCCGAATGCTCTTTTAATGTCTTTTCGGGCTGCCTCTTGTACCCTTGCGAATTCATATTGTTTCCTAGTTTGGGGGTCTTTGATGTTCTTGACAAATGTGCACCAAAGAGTGTATATACCATCTGCAAGATAGTACCCCTTTGTGTATTCATGCTCATTGATAGTGTAGTTGCAAGTAGGAGCATCAGCACTAGCAAGCCTAGCAAACAAATGAGATCGTTGCAACACATTAATATCATTGAGAGTACCCGACATACCAAAAAAAGCAATGCCAAATCCATAAATCCTGGGATGCTATGGCCTCTACCACAATTGTTGCATCACGAGACTTGCCACGATACATTTTGTGGCATGCTTTTGGGCAATTTTTCCAAGTCCAGTGCATGCAATCTATGCTTCCTAGCAATGCCAGGCCAAACTCTTCTATCATTAGATGCCATCAATTTTTTTTGTCTTCCTCGTTGAGTGCCCGAAGATATTCAGGACCAAAAACACGGATGATCACTTTGGCAAACCTACGCACTGACTCAATTGTAGTATTTTCACCAATGCGAAGGTACTCATCGGCATAGTCAGCTGGAATGCCATATGCAATTACCCGCATAGTTGCTGAGATTTTTTAATATGCACTAAATCCCTTCAAGCCTGCGGCATTTCTTCTTCGAGTAAAATACCAACAATTGGCCTCGCAAGCTTGAACAATTTTCACAAAGAGGGATCGGCGCATTCTATACCTTCTCCAGAAGAGGTGTGGCGGATATGTTGGATTCTCCGCTAAGTAGTCTTGCATCAACATCTCGCTCCCGAGATGGCGGTTTCGGGGAATGCAAAGACAGCCGACGGTCGATCCTCGCCGCCCCTTTTGGTTCTCATCTTCGTGCTCCTTAACGGTAAGGGCCATCACCAATGTCTGCTGGCGGTAGTTGACAAGTAGCGCCTCAACATCCGAGTCGTTTGAATCAGGCGAATCGTCGAGAAAAAACTTCTCGCACGGGCTCAATTCCAACTAAAAATCACAAATACACGCGCCGCGTTAACCAACTATGCATACCGCTCGGCACAAGCACAAGTAAAAACCCACCGGCTACTCGGGGGCGGTGGCTCTCCGGCGGTGGATCCCAAGGCAACGACGGCGACTAGGGGCGGCTCGGATCGGCGGATTCGGGGAGCCGGTGCAGCAG